TCCTCCTCTCCTATAGAGTCCAATGTCGGGCATTTACTTCAAGATTTATGTAAGTTTTAATATATATAGCGTGAGGCGTAAGCCTCATGCCAGTGAGGCGAGGCGGGACTCAACCAGGTTGAGGCGCAAGCCTCATAAAAAAAACTTGAGGCGTAAGCATCGAGGCGTTTTTTATTGGAATTGCACAAAGGCGGGCCTCAAGGCGAGCCTCATATTGCGCAATTTTAAACCATGCTTGAACGGAACCCATGAAAAAACCGAAGACAGAAACATAGAGAAAGGAGGAAAATGATTTCTTAATGATACAAAGAGTTACACAGTACAAGCTACATATAGAAGATAAGATACAAGAGAGGGCCGATCTTGATTTCCCGTACAGTTCTTTAATGAATCATGAAGCTGACGTGGACAACTTCTCTAACATTCCTCCGCAAAGTAATCATTCGGGTGGACGAATGGTTAATTTGGAGTGTAGATCGGAGCCGAGATGTGGAGAGAGGTTTGGTGAGAATGTATGCTATTTGATCGGCAGTACTGAGGTGATGAACTTTGATTGCACCTTGTTTGATATGTCTACTGATGAAGTGATAATCGATTTTGATGTGTTTAGTCCGAGCATGAAAGACTGGATTGTTGGCGAGGGCGATGGAAAGGGCGATGGCGAAGGTGTTGTCGCAGAAGATTTTGGTTGGAGAGGTTTGAGGTATGTGAAATTCGTTTGCAAGGCGACGCAACCAAATGATCTCTGAGGTAGCGGAGGAAAGGGACCTGTACTCAGCTTCGATAGAAGATTTGGCCACTGTGGTTTGTTTCTTGACAGACCAGGAAATAAGATTATGACCCAAGTAGGTGCAGAAGCAAGATATTGATTTGCGGTCGGCTGAATCGGATGCCCAGTCGGCATCGGTATAAGTGCAGAGTTGAAGGTTGCCTTGTTTGAGTGCAAGGCCGTAGTTGATCGTTCATTTGATGTGCCTGAGCAATCTTTTGAGTTTTCGGTAATCAGTGGTACGCGGTTGGTGCATGTGTTGGTAGATGACGTTTGTAGAGAAGGCGATGTCGTGTCGAGTGATCGACAGATATTGCAGGGAGCCTGCTAACTTGCGGACATATGAGGATCGGGGAATGGCAGACCTTCCTTATTTGAGTTGGATTGTTTGACGCCTATGGGTGTCAAGTAGGATTTGCAGTTTGAGAAACCAGATGAATTTAGAAGCTCTTGAGCGTAGTGCTTTTGATGGAGGAAATAGACTTCTGAGGTGCGAAGGACTTGTATGCCTAAGAAGAGAGATACCTCACCCATTTGCTTAATGCTAAATTTTGAGTGTAGCTGCCAAAGAATCTGTTGAATTTTGTTGTTGTCATTTCCTGTGATAAGTATGTCGTCTATATAGACAAGAATGAAAATATGAGTATCTTTATGATTAAATATAAGTAATGAAGGGTCAGCTTTACTAAATGTGAATCCAAGCGATTGTAGAGCATTGGTGAATTGTTGGAACCACTGGCGAGGTGATTGTTTTAATCTGTAGATGGATTTGTGTAGACAACACACATGGTGAGGGTGTTGAGCATCAACAAAGCTGGTCGGTTGTCGCATATATACTTCATCATGTAGATCACCGTCCAAGAACGCATTGGAGATGTCTAATTGGGTGACGTTCCAATTGTTATGTAGAGCTACGACTAGCAACATGCGGATCGTGACCATTTTGGCTACATGATTGAAAGTTTCTATGTAGTTGATGTCGTATTCCTAAAAGCGACCCTGAGCGACGAGACGAGCCTTGTATCGGGCCACTTGACTGTCGGAATGAAGTTTCGTCTTAAACGTCCATTTACAGCCGAGTATAGGTTTATTTGTCGAAGAAGAAATGAGGGACCACATTCCTTGCTGTTGCAGAGCGAGAAATTCGGAGGACATGGCAGCGCACCAATGGGCGTGTTTATTGGCTTGAGAGTATGAGATGGGAGTGGATTCTGATGAAGAAGTGACGAAGAGATCAAATATTTTCTTGGGTCTGAATATGCCAGATTTTAGGCGTGTTTGCATTGGGTGAGTTTGAATGGGTGGAGCTGAAACATAAGACGTGTGAGGAGTTATAGGTTGACTGTCCGAAGAGGGGTTGTGAAAAGAGGATTTGGTAACAGGTTCATGAGATGAAGCTACAGGATTTGTGGAGCAAAGAGAATTAGACGTGTAGTGATTATGATGAGAGATAGTGGAAGTAGAGACAAGCAACAATGGGGATGGGTTGGTGTGCTGAGGTGCGGAGGGAACCTGGAGAGTTTTTGATTGAAACGGAAACTGATGTTCAAGGAAGATAACATGTCTAGAGATATGAACACGATTGTTAGACAAATCTAGACATCGGTAACCTTTGTGTTGGGAGGAATAGCCGAGAAAGAGGAGATAATTTGTTTTGTGCTTTAGGTTTCAGCCATGGAAAACACAAGCAGCCAAAAAGTGCGAAGATGAGTGTACGTTGCGAGTTTGTTGTGAAGTTTGTGGTACGGAGTTTGATTGGAGATGGCAGAATATGGTAGCCTATTTATTAAATAGTTGATTGTTGAAATAGCTTCTGCCCAGAAAGAGTGCGGGAGGTAGGAGGCGTGAAGAAAAGTCCGCTTGAGATCGAGGAGGTGACGGTGGTTATGTTCGGCTAGACCATTCTGCTCAAGCGTATACTGGCAGCTAATTTGAAATCTCACATCTGCCCTTTTCTCCACCATTTTGTCACCCATTCTTCCATACGTCATTACTCTCAAATCATCGCACGAAGTTTGGTCCACCCATGAGAGACGACTCCAACCTACGAACCGATCTCATGTAATTTAGCTCAAGAATGAGCTACATCAAATACAAATGAAAGATCGCACCATGCAGCAGTATCTTGCACAAATAAAAACACTCGTCGACAACATAGCTGAGGCCGAATCTACGATCGACACAGAGGATGTCATCTTATATATCCTAAATGGCCTTCCATCCACTTACAATGCATTTAAAACCTCCACCAAAACATCCTTGAATCCTATCAGTTTAGACATTCTTTCCTCTCTTTTATGCAGTGAGGAGATTAATCTCCATCAAGAACAGGTTAAAGAATCACAACAACAATCAAATTCGGTTGCTCTTCTATCAAGCCGGAATACATACAGCAGAGGTCGTCAACAGGTCTCGCGGATGGGGCTCAAACTCGCGTCCAACTCCGACCTCTACTTCCATTCCTCACAGTTCAAACTCCACGCAAAGACCAACCTGTCAAATTTGCGGCAAGAATGGGCATTCTGCACTAAACTGCTGGCACCGGTGCAATATGAGTTACGCCCCACCATCCAACTCCAAGGCTCTCACGGATCAACAACAATACTTATCCTCGACGGACTGGGTCTTGGACTAGGGGGCTTCGTCGCACCTAACGTCAGATATTACCAATCTTGATCATTCCACTCCCTACAACGGCCTCGACTCCGTTTCTATTGCCAACGGTAACACCCTACATATTCAGAATTCGGGACAAGGCATACTGCCTTTATCGGACTCAACGCGTAAGCTACATCTTCGAAACATTTTACATATGCCGTCCATTTCTCACAATTTATTATCAACTTCCAAACTAACTGCTGGCAATGATGTTACTAATTGTTTTGACGCTAATGGTTTCTCTATTAAGGATCGCGAGGACAATCAACCTCTTCTCCACGGTCGCAATCGCAATGGTCTCTACCACATCAAAACCTCTCCTAGAGGCATTGCACCGGCTACTGCTTTCAAAGCCTCAAATAACTCTGCTTCTTTATGGCATGCGAGGCTCGGTCATCCGAACATTCAGGCTCTTCAATCCCTCGCCAAAAAGATCCCGGATCTTCGTACTTCATTCAATTCTTTACCTACTTGCATTTCTTGTAATGTGGCCGAGAGCCACAAATTACCATTCTTTTCTAGCATCTCTAAATGTGATAAACCTTTTCAACTAATCCATACGGATATCTGGGGACCTTCCCCGCGGTTCTCTCTCAATGGATTCAAATATTATGTTGTGTTCATCAACGACTTCACTCGATTCTTCTGGCTCTGATACCATGAAGAAGTTCTTGAATGAAACCCATGAACAAGCCGAAGAGAGAAATAGAGAGAAAGGAAGAAAATGATTTCTTAATGATACAAAGAGTTACACAATACAAGCTATATATAGAAGATAAGATACAAGAGAGGGCCTATCTTGATTGCCCGTACAGTTCTTTAATGAGTCATGGAGCTGACGTGGACAGCTTCTCTAACATAATCAAACTCGATTATAAATCAATCTTGATAAAAATAAATAAATAAATAATTACATGCCTAAACAACATTTTGAAATCTGATTCATGTTCAAGTTTGACTCCAGCACATTAAAAGATAAAAGTTAATTTGAAATAAAATAACACCCATCTTTTCTGGACTTAATTAGGATTGTCTACAAACGTACATACTTTTAAAAGCTCTGCTAATATAGACAAAAGACAAGCGGACAGAAGAAGTTATAAAGTGCTTTAATTACAGCGGAACTGTACAAGTTGTTTCTTACATTAATAAGCTTATCGTCCATACCTTAATTGCTAGCATAAAACTCAAAGCAAATCATGCATTTTATTCCACGTTCCATGTCTTCTTTCATATATGCATCCAAATTGATCAGATTTTTGTCCGGGTTCTTTACCGGTCATAACCTTTCAGAGTACATAAATATGAACTTAACATTCATGAAAGGCGCTTCTTAATTTAAGATGGCATTAAGATGTGCGCATGTTGAGAAAAAGATGAAACGATTCTTTCTTCAGTAAGAGAAATGGATTTTGTCGCTATTTCAGAATTAAAACAGGAGATGAAATGATTTTTCTTAAACAAAAGACAAACACGAGCAGTACTAGCGCAAATTAACAATAAGCCGCCGGATTAGGACACGACATATCGAGGAAAGGGAGGGTCCTCGGTTTGTAGGAAAAGGAAAACGTACCTGGGAGCGGAGGCAGTCGTTGTCCTTGAGAAGGGTGTCATGATCGGCAAGAAGAGCGTCATAGGAGGCCTTAAGGCGTTCGTAGTCTCGCTCGAGTTGCTTCGTTTTCCAGCGGGCGCGGCGGTTCTGGAACCACACGGCCACCTGCCGCGGCTGCAGCCCAAGCTTCTTCGCCAGCTCGCTCTTCTTCTCGGGTTCTAGCTTGTTCTCAGCTTCGAAGCTCCTCTCAAGCAGATGCACCTTTTTTATTACCATTCAATATTGTAATTAGTAGCTTGCTTCCACTATCTAGTGCTTTGCTTTCAAAAAAAGAAAACTTTCCAGTATTACGAATAATTAAAAAAACAAAAGAACATCAGCACTCATAATTAAGAACTCACTAACAAACGTGAGCACAAAGACTTTCTAAAGTTGAAGAATTAAATTCCCTTGATGTTAACACCCAATACCGCCATGCTAAAAAAGAATCAAAGTGATGATGGGGAGACCCACAAAAACGCCACAGGTGATATGTTTAATCCCTAATTAGCGTCATTAAACACGTTTATCTACCAAGCAAATCCCGACCGTTCTTTAGCCCCATGGAATATTTTCAGATGGCAGAGAAAGAGCGAGTGATTACCTGCTCCGGGGTGAGGCGTCGCTTCTTCTCCGGAAGCTGCTCGTCGTAATACTCCTCTTCTAGGAGTTCCTCCGCAGTTGTGAAGAAGGGGCGACGCTTATGCGCGCCCTCCTCCAAGCTCAGCATCGATCTGGTCCCTTCATCACTCCCAAGCCCAAATTCACATGAATTCCAGACAAAAGAGTGAAACCCAAAAATAAACCAATGAAAAATAGCTGGATTGGAAGAGAAATGAATACCTCGGAAGAGAGGGCTACCAGAACCACCGAGGATGAGCATGTGGCCGCCATGAGAGGAAGACGAATCGAAGATGAGTCGTCCCGAGTCCATCGTTCTGGCCTAATCCGATCGTTCCCTGGTGAGATCTCCCTTTCCCCCTTCCTATACTATACTATAGGTGAAATATCTTACTAAGATACTAACAGCTATAGATCGATGCTCTGTTCTACTCTGATTGAGTTACCCTCAGAAAAAAACGATGGTCTTGTGGCGGAAGAAGCTTGTACTCCACAACATGCGCGTTGATGACTTCATCGGGAATAAGGAAAATCCCATCATGAAACAAATCCCAATTGGAGGACCTCTCGGCTCCCCCCACTCAAAGCGTTCCAGCGAATTTCACTCGCCGCCGCCGCCGCCGGTAGAGATAAGAGGGACAAGCAGCAGAAAGACACTACGCTGCAACCAATAAGTTGCCGGACGAAACGCCAGAAAATCGCCGGAATCAGAGATTCCGACTATCGGAGTGGTCAGTTACCGCGCTCGCTCTCTCTCTCTCTCTCTCTCGGGGTTCGTGGAAATCTTTGCAGCTAAAGTTTACTTGCACTGACGAAGGCAGGCTTTTATAGGGCTAAAATTTGAGTGATATGACGAATGCGCCCCTACTCGATCCATCTCTTTCTTTAAAATTTTAATTTTTATTTTATTTTTTTACGTTTAGGCCATATAAAACAATTTTATATAGGGAAGAATAAAATTTAAGATTTTTTCATGTATAGTCAAAACTCTCCACTAACAAAATAAGAAGAACTATATATGAGAAATTGAATTGAGTAGAACAAATATTACATTATTCAATTTTGACTATTTATTTTTTTATCAAGTATGAATTGAATTTCATATGATCAATATATATTTTAAAATATTATTTAAACTTATTTATTAATTTTTTATTAAATTTAAATTACTATTGATTTTAGTCAAATCTAATAAATTATGTATTTGAAGCAAATAACTTAAGCTAAAGCCTATTTATTAGACATAATTGAATTTATAAATTTTAATAAAAATTTAACTTAATTTATTAGGTATGATTAAAATTGTTTGATGAAATTTGAATAACTTAAAGCAAGTATTATGTGAACGAGTCTTAAATTATTCATCGAGTACACACGTTCACTTATAGCTCTATCGAAGCCCTAAAAAATTGTTCTTTTCATGTACTTCATTATTTAATGTTGTGTTTTATTATTGGAGGATTTTTTTATGCAGAGCATACAAGCATACAAAATATTAGCATTTGCCTATTGAAGTTATTAAAAATTACTATTCACATGTATAGCACTCAAAATATTAATAAAATAAAAAATAATACCACACATTATAGTCTAGTCATCACTCCATATAGGCTACACCTCCCGGAACTACAACAGTCTATGCTTCACTCTATCTGTCCAGTTGAATTTGTTATCTTCACATTAACAAAATGAATATTGAATAATAATGAAGTTTACATGTCAAATATGTAAGTCCTAATATTTCTTGTGCTATATTTATAAATCATCCTTCATTGTTATATTAAAACATTACATAGAAAAAAAAAAAAGCAAAATTTTCAAATAAATGTTGGTAATAAGTAAATCAACTAAAAGAAAACATGAAAACATGCTCAATCATCTCTTAAGGATTGGCTTGATTGTATTTAGTTTTTTCTTAAATAAAAATTTGATAAAAGGACTTGTGGGTTATTGATTGGGGAGTAATATTTTTGAAAAGTCTAGAATTCTTTCTATTTTTTATGTTAAATATTTTATAACTAAAGTAAAATAATAATAATTAAATTTAATTGATGAATATTTTAAAAATCACTTAAATTCTCGAAAAAAAATATATTAAGTAAACTTTAAATTATATATAATAAATAATTAATCAATATTAAGTGATAAATTTTAATTTTAATTTTAAAGCTCACAATATTATATATGAGGATGATTGTCAAAAAGTATGTTGAGACTATTGAGTATTTGTTAAGGATGGAAGCCAAGATAAATCAACTAAGGCTCATTAGTTGCAGCTAAAAAATATAAAACAAATAAAATTATTTTTATAATTAATACTAAAAGCCAACTAAGAGTTCTCATCATTGATTATAATTTCATAACATTTTAAATAAAGTATTGTGAATAAACTTTAAATTTTAAAATATTTAGCTTAAAAATTAATTCCAAGGCATGTAGTTCCCTAACCAAATGACTAGCCTAGGTTTAAGCTCTTAATTATTGGTGATTAAGCGAATTGCTAGAAATAAACTTACCATTCTTCTCCTTCACCCTCTCTGAGCTCAAAGCAACTTCCTCGTGTACTTTTCAATAGACTAACCCTCAGGTGAGCTCCATTGACTAGGAAGCTCAAAAATACCACAGAGCTTTCATATTTCCACCAACCAAGGCATGTAGTTCCCTAACCAAATGACTAGCCTAGGTTTAAGCTCTTAATTATTGGTGATTAAGAGAATTGCTAGAAATAAACTTACCATTCTTCTCCTTCACCTTCTCTGAGCTCAAAGCAACTTCCCCGTGTACTTTTCAATAGATTAACCCTCAGGCGAGCTCCATTGACCAGGAAGCTCAAAAATACCACAAAGCTTTCATATTTCCACCAATCTAGTGCGCCCTAAGCGAATCCTAAGGAGGATTCTTCTCCAATTCAACATAGGAAAATGAGGCATCAAATTTTTCTAGCCCTGCGGACTATGGAGATGATAATTTTAAATCTTAGTCATGATTTTAGGTCTCTAGTTTGTGGTGAGATTAGGATCACAACTATTGACATTTTTTCTACCCATAGAAAGCTCATTCTCATAAAGTTATGACCATTGAGATCTCATCAGTTTGTCCGCTTTAGAGTGAGAATGAGTAGTTTGAATCATTTTAGTTTATGTTAACCCAACAACAAAATAGTATAATTTGAACATAGGCATGAAGTAGAAGATGAAATCCAAATTATTTGTTCATATTTTAAAATGATATAGTGGATCTCATTTAAACCCTATCTAGTTTTAAAGATTTTTATGGGATTTGTGTAGAAAATTACCTATGGATCAAATCATTTAAGAACTTTAATATAAATGCTTTTTAATATAGGGAATCCAACAAAAAATGTTTTCATTCCAACAGATAGAAAATAGACAACCTTGATGTTGTCAAGTTTACATGCTAGTTTATAGTGGTGCTGAGCTAAAGTCACCAAGTGTGTATAAGAACATGTTACATTTGACAAGTGTAAATGCTAGGAAGCGAGAAAATCATGGCTCAATGGAAATGTCGTCATATTTACACTGAACATAAGTGTGTCATCTTATGGGAGATGATGACTTATCCCAAAGAGAGACATAAAGATGACAACTCCCTTGGGTGATCGCTTTATAAGGTTGGTGTGTTTAAAAGTATGATGACCAGCAAAGTTATTAGGTGAAAGGATATGGTCAATAATTTGGTATACTATAAGTTAGCAAGCATGTCAATGAAGATAACTAAGAATTCACTCACCACGTAAAAGGCTAAGAATCTACTGAATAGGGTTGAGAAAGTTAACCTATGGTGGACCAAATGGCTTTCTAGTTGCTTGTTGCCCTTCTTTGGCCTATCAAGGCAATAGAACCTAGAGACATGCCACTCACACTTAGAGCCTAATGATAATAAAATATTTGGGAAGCACACATGTAGAATATGCAAAGAGGCATCATAAAGAAAATCAATCTTTTGAAGTTATAATGATATGGCACCAATACTCTCGATAGCCTCGTAATGTTAAGCCAAGGTTGACATACTAGAAGAAACGTGTCAACCACTTCCAAATAAGAAGAGATAATTGAGTGTTGTTGGAAGGAATCGTCTTCGCTTTCCCTTCAAAAACTCCATGAAAAAAGAGCCAACCAACTTTGATTCAATCGAGAAGAGGAATATAATTAGTGAAGGAGCATCGACTTCCCTTATTTATGTGGCAAACATCGCCACACAAAAAATAAAAAATGTAGTAACAAGGCTCACTATAAAGAGCATTACAAGAGTTGAAAATATATTTTGGTTTTATCTGCATGTCTTGCTTTGGTATTAATGTGGTTAAAATTTTCACATACAAAACAGTCATTTTTATCATAAATTTACAAGAATAGAACTTATAATCCTTCAAATAATTCTCAAAAAGTTTTTTTTATTCAGCTTTCATATGCTCTTCCCATTTGAAAATTTACATTGAAATTTGTGTGTGATTAATCAGAGATTTTTAAAATCCAACCAAGAATCAATTAAAGAAACGCGCAGGCAAACAGTCCAGGGACATTGTATTACGACATCCACACCGCGAATAGAATCGCCCAGGAACTAAAGTGGAAGCATATCCAATTTCTAATAAGCTGATAAACAAGCTTATGCTAAATGGCTTTGAAGGGATTACGAAGATGCTTAGACTTCTTACAGAGAGAAAAAGAAATGCTCATCGTTAGGGGAATAAAATCTCATTTCAACAAAAGAAAAGTAGTTCACGAATCCCCCACGTTTCCTCTTCCAGCTTCCTGCAGCGATTAATTCTGTTTAGATTATGATTAAGCTGCAGGGTAACAGATTATTAAATGAAGCTAAGTTATTATATTAGTGTACTATATTTTGGATTAATTTTTAGCATTATTTTGTACCATTCTATAATTATATTATATTAGCATATATGGATTATGAAAATATCGTTTTAGATTATGATTAAGCTGCAGGGTAACAGATTATTAAATGAAGCTAAGTTATTATATTAGTGTACTATATTTTGGATTAATTTTTAGCATTATTTTGTACCATTCTATAATTATATTATATTAGCATATATGGATTATGAAAATATCGTTAAAAGATAAAATATTATTTTTTATATTATTATATTATGGGGCGGAACTATGTATTTGTTAGAGAGGGGCAATTGCCCTCCCCTAAAAAAATAAAAACTTTTAGTATAGTAAAGGTTATTTGTAATTTGCCCCCCGTGAATTCGACCTTTTTTCACTCAATTTGTCCCTGCAAAAATAAAAAACTCTCTTGGCCTCTCGCTATTTTCATCCAATTATGTTGAACTTTTCTAACAAGAACAAATAAGCCTACGAAAAATGATTATGTGTAAAAGAAATTATTTTTGTAATCTTATATATATATAT